ATCAAAGGTATGTTGTTTGTTTGTTTTCCTTAAAAAAATTATCTTCTCTTTTGTCAAAGTTTAATGCTAGCTTTTGAATATTTGTGAAGCATAGTATTACAGTGTCATTACGCTGGCAAAGTTGTGTCTTTATTCTCCCTCTCATAGATGCTGGAAGAATAAAGTTCCTTTATTAAAATAGTCCTCTAATCAGCTGACATGTAAATATTTCAGTTGAGTTTGCGTTTGAAAGCAATGAAGCGTCAAGTTGAAGAAGCAGAGGAAGAAATAGACAGACTGGAAAGTGCTAAAAAGAAACTTCAGAGAGACCTAGAAGAGCAACTAGATATGAATGAACAATTGCAAGGACAGCTTAATGCTGCAAAAAAGGAATTGAGGTAGGATAATGTGTCAGACCTTACAATTATGTGTCACTTGCCACTCAGTGTTGATTACTTGCTCCGTTAGTCCCTCAATTGGAGGCTTCCTGTAATAAACCTGAAGTTTTGTCATAAGTATTTGAGAGGCAGAGCTGTGAAACTCTTCATCGTTTTCTTCCTCTTTAGATTTTCTTCCATCATTTTCTTCAGTGCTCTAGGTGCCCAAGTCTATTTTCTATCTAGTGAATAATCACTGAAGCAGGGGATGAAAAATGAAAAGGAGTAGTAGAGCTTGGCACACATGTAATTTGTAGTGATTAAATTTTCTATTTTTCTAAATTTTCTTATGACTGAAACAGCTATCCTGTGTTTAGTTTTCCTCCAACATCACTGAATATTTCAGTGTCAAAGTCCTCATTCTCTTGCATGTTTCTTTTATGTAAGCTGTAGTCTATGATAAACTTCTACTATAAGAGCATGGATATCTGACATTCTTAAAAAGTGCAAATGCTATTTATATTACAAGCTTTGCAAAAATATTCTGTATACTAATGTGCAGTGTTAATCATACAAGTGTGTGTGTTTTTGTTTCAGTAGACGAAAGAAGTCACCAAGTAAAGTGCTGACTGATTTTGATGATGATGATGACGATGACGAGTTCAGCACGGATGGCGATAGTCTCTGTGAAGCACCTTCAGGAAATAACTTTTCAAAAGATAGTGACACAATAATGTAAAATAAGTATTGGCTCTGTGTTTCCTTGAAAGTACTGGAAGAGTAACTTAAACTATCAAAAACCTGGATATTTTAGAAGCCAAATACCATAAAGGGATGTAAGATCTGGGAATTTGATGTTTCCATCCATACTGTGCCATTTTCTTATTTAGATATCTTCTGTTTATTATAGAAAAGAGAACCGTGTTGTAAAACAGATATAAAACATGGCTATATATAACTGCTACTGAAAACACAGGGATAACATTTCGCCTTGGAATTGTGATTTTGTTAAAATTCTGTTTAAGTAAAGAGCCATTTGAAAGTAATTCAAGTTCAGTTTGTAGTTAATAAAGCTTTTTCACTAAAATTAAGGAAGACACAGATGATTATTTAATAATTGTAAGTACAGATGAATGATATATAGATTGTAAATATTTTAAAAATCTGATCTTTTATTGACTACTTTAGTACTATTTTGTAAAGTTTTAAGTATTATAAAAATCAGTTTCATATGTAGAATATCTAAATTTATACTAAATATTATACTTGGGTTTTAACTAAAATAAAATACTTTTTTTTGCATTACAGAGCAGATTCACACTTCCTGAGCCAGAAAGTACATTCTGATTTTGAAAACAGTTCCAAGTTTTATTATATGTTGTTTAAGATGAAATGTAAATCCTGCCTGTTGACTTTAAAGGGACCATCACATCTGCATGATGAGTGAGGCTTGCCCACAACTTTTTTGCAAATTTTGGTTGGGAAGCTTTGTCTTTGTAGGAGGTAAGGATGAAAATTAAATCAGAGATTACTTAGCATCTTCATTTCCTGAAGCGGACTCCAAACTGCCAGGCACAGCACTGTAGGCCTGCTCATTTGAGGGCACTTGGACAAGCTCTTCTTAAAGTCTTTGAGGAGTCTTGCTTGTTCCAGTAAAATTAGTTTATGGATTAAGTACATGCTTAAATCTGTATATTGTTGGATCCCAGAAAGTTTTGCACCTGGCAGGACATTGTGCCCTTGAAACAAAAGCATGTGATCTAATTATTCTAACCTGTTCTTGAGTATCTATTTGGGATATGCTGCAATGTATGGTCGTGTATGCATATGTTAGCATTTCAGAATAGAGAAGTATCTGCATTTTGAGAAATTCATCTGTTAAACAAACTTTGTGGGAAATTAAAAAAACAAACAAACATGCAAATTCTATTTTAAAAGCATTTTCCATTTTATTACTAAAAATATTTTTGTTGTTTAGATTACACAGAGCAGTTTATCACTTTTGCAAATCTAGAATTTTAAGGAAAGGCGCTACTGTATAGTTTTGTTAATAAACTATAGCTAACTCCTCTGTGATTATTAGTAGTTGTCCCCATTATATATAGCTGAGTACATCTTCATTGAATGGACCACGTACTACGTACTGTAAAAATACTTTAACCTGGAGCTGCTGGGGAGCTTCCATTACTCACATGACACCAGAAGCTGATAGGCTTGGTTAAGGCAAAAGTCCTGACAATGCAGTATCCATTTTCAAGATTATATGACGTGAAACTCCTGCCTTGCAGATCACAAATATATTCACACACAGCACATCATTATAGATTATAATACATAGCACTCTGTTGTCTTCAACTTGACGTTGATGGTTTCAGGTACATGGGAAATAGTGTGAACTGCACAGTTGTAACATTCTATGCCTGAATCTTCTACATCTTTTCAGATAGTTTCGGATTTACATCGTATAATTTCTTTTTGCAGTACCAGTTTCACTGTTTTGTCAACACAGAAACAGCCCATGCTCTAGGAAGATCTGCACTATGCTGTACTATCATCTTACCTGTTCTGACTTAGTTTTTGTTTCATTTGCGTGTTTGTATAGGCTTAATTTTAAACAACTGATTCCAATTTTCAGTTCTGCACCTGCACTCTGTCATGATGTATGTAAATAATTATTATTTCAAACCACTGGGAGAAAATCACTTAATATTGCAGCTACCTCCAGTTACACTAAACTGTAAATGTTAAAAATAAACATTTTAATCTTACAGTTCTACTTTGCATTTAGATTGATGTGAGAATTGAACTTCGTATGGAATATGCGTATATTTAGAATAGAACCAGAAAATAATTATCTGGGAAATAATCATGCTGTAGAAGGGTTTCTATATTTTCTTCTCTTTGGAGAGCTACTTTCTTTGTAACTTGGTAGGCAGGTGGAATATCTAGAAGACTTTTTTTTTTTTTTTTTTTTTAACTTAAATAAATTGCCAGAATGATGCATTGTTAAGGGACTGCTAGTAAGAGAGAGATCCTGGCTGCTAGGCCCTTGTCCCTCCCTGCCATATCATCATCATCATCATAACTGTCCTTAAGTGTTTTTTTTTTTCTTCTTTAGACTTGGAAATACAAATTCTCTTGGAAATTCTCAGATAATATAACTAGATACTGAAAAAAGGCATTTCAAGTCATTCACAAAACAATCTGTCATGATTATGCTCTCAGAATTGGATCACATTGGTAATTTTGGCAAGTTTGTTTACATTTCTTTTTCAAGAAAGTCACTGTATAATGTTTTAGAAGTTAAACTTTGACACCTTAGTTCTTAAAATAACTTTTTCTTGTCACATTATTAGTAAAATGCAACTACTGATATCCATTCAGTGACACACGTTTTGTGAATGGTGAGTATTTTAGCCATGATGATAGGGTCTAGATCTTGTTTGCTACAAAAAGCACTGGTAGTAGTTTAAGGAAGTCTTAGTTTAAAGAAGTTTAGTTCATCTCATGGCTGTTTTTAATCAAAACTCATCTTAAATCAGAGTTAAGTTTAGAAAACTTTGACTAGCATTTGCATATAGTTTTTAAATGTACCTCTGAATTTTGCAGGAAGCAAGGCTCTTGGACTGTAAAAGCCATAGGAAAATATGTGAAGAAGTGTGGATTACAATCAGTTTCAATATTTTTACAAACATCAGAGTTTTTGGTGTATTGGAAAAACGCCTGTAGAGACCTTCCATTTTCTTTGATACCATAAAATCTTAGAAACACACAGACCTAAGCCCCATCACTTGATACAAGTCATTACCTGATTCCTGGTACAGTGGATTCTTCTGTTTGAGTATAAGTATCTTTGAACATTTTGTCCTCTCTGGAATTAATGGCCTTTAAAACCCTACTGAGATTTTGATCATTTGTATCTTGTGATAGAAAACTTGTGTAAAAATGTTTCCTCCCATTGAAATTCTCCTCTATCTAAATATTTGTGTTGCACTCTGCCAGAGCCTCTTGCTTTTCTAGACCTGCTTCTGTAGACAGGAGAATACAAGTTAACTTGTACAAGAGTGTTTTGATGTTTTAAATCAATAACATTTAACAAATGCTGCAGGATTCTTCAATGGCAATTACCATACAATGTGGAACATAAATATAAAAGCAAACAAATGAGCAAAATCCTTCTGTCCTACACAAACTCTTCACACACTGTCCAAATAATAAATTGAGGATATTCTTCGTGATTTTAATGCCCTTGACTTTGGAAGGTATTGTTTTCATAAAACCATTAAGGTTTTTCAGAGATTCTCTCCCTTTTACTTGCAAAGAAGAAGAAAAGGACGTTGTCTTCTTGTCTCCCGTACTGCTTCCCTATGCCTCACTTGAGGAAATGCTGTACAAAAAGCTATACAAATGCTTTCTTGCATCAACACTGTTGGTTACTTTTTATTGTTCAGTCACCAGGCAGAATTTTGTCCCCCTCAGTTTATTTTCCTGGTGATGAGAATATTACTTTGTGATTAACCTGCCAATTTCTGATTTATACTTGTCGGTTTCAATTTCCTTTTGCCTAGTTAATGAGTTAAATAATCTGTTCTTATTTATAATTGATTTTCTAAACTATTTCTTGTGCATTCTTCATTTTTACAGCCCAGCTGTATACTTTGCTGAGTGAGCTACACAGTGCAATAGCTCCAGCTTTTTGGTCTTTTCTGCATCACACAGCATATTTCAGAAATTTAATTTTGATGCTTATTGGAGCTTCCGATCCTGTGAGTGAATCTATGTGTTTCAGCTGCTTAATTTCTACCAACTGCAGTTATCAAATAACACTGCAAAACATTCAAAAGCTTTGCTGAAAGAGCAACATTCCATAAAAATTACCAGGGTTTATAACACAATTTGTTCTTGTTTGCATAAGGGCTGATTAGGTGTATTCTTAACCTAGTGACCCTACTGTGTTATACTGGGGGAAATCTGATCATTTCAACTTATTCCTGTTATCAAGAAGATGATACAGAGATAAATAGACATGTTTTTAGTAGTATGTGGGTTTTTTTTCTTAAAATTTTAAGAAAGGAAGCACTTAGGAGAATAGAGGGAGTAAAATTCTACAGAAAAGTTCAGGAGTAGTAGTAAATTGGACTTTCCTACCTCCATAGAAGTGTGACAGCTGTTTTCAAGTTAGCAAGTGATTACCAGTGAACCCCCTATGAGGTCAGCAGAGATCGTATGCTTTGTGTGAAAGGAAACATCCAATCTTTTCTCTACTTACAACAACAATTTGCTGTTTCATTCAGATTCTGAAGGTTCATGCCATTAGCAGAAAAACAGACAAGAAAAAAAAAAAAAGAGTTAAATTCCAAGCACAGGTGGATGATGAAAATTTAAGCTCTCCAAGTTGCCAGAGGGAAACTGTAAGAACATTTCTATGTGAGCACAGAGAAGGGTCTCAGTACAGGTAACGAGTTTTTTTCCATACTTTCTGTCTATTGCTGTTTCTTCAACAGAATAAGCTTTTTGAGCAATGATTTATACATTTGAAAACTATGCTCATTACTATTAAGAAGTTACTTTATGTGTTAACATGCATTCTGGTTAGGATGAAACCTACCAACAGTATAATATAAAGCAAGGGATAAAATGTAGAAGGAAGATCATTGCAGGATCCAGTTCTGGTCTGTTGGATTTTGCTGTTCAGCCATCCCTCTTAAAGCCCAATACTGAAAATCACCTAAGCCATCTTAAGCACACAGATACCTAAATGCATATGGCTGTGCAGTGCAGGTAATTTTGTTTTGCAGAAAAATCTTCAGCTCCTTCAAACACTGAAATACTCAGAATGCCTGCCAGTATTACTCAATTTTATGCCTCTCTTTGTCTCCTATCCTTCTTCCAGAAAGAAGTAGCGTAATTCTTTGCTTTCTCTTAACTTGTGATTACTGCTGTGTTCTTCTGGGAAAGATAAAGATGTTTCCACTTCCAAGAGCAGCAACAGAGAGGAAACTGTTGGGACTGAGCCCTGCAAAACTGTTTATATCAGAAATGAATGTTACTTTTTTCTAAAAAGCAGTTCCACTCCATCGATGTGAGAGTTGAGCTGTTGAGTGAAAGGTCACTTTTCTAGAGCTAACTATTCTCGGCAGCCTTTTTTTGGGGGGGTTGGGTTGGGCTGGGATGGGGAGAGGTAAGAACTTTTAAGGAAAAAGGACTCTCTAAATGTACACATTTGGGACTGGAGTGCAAGAGCAAAAGCATACATGTGCACTGAAGGCAGAGGGTTTGGCATACATCTCTGCAAGTGCATTATCAGTTCATTGCGCCCCTGTTTGAAACTATAATCCCGTCTACTTAAAATGGATAAAAGAAATCAAGTGGCTACTGTCATACTGGTTACTGTAAGTCCTTCCTAGTAAAGAGCACCTTCACCAGAGTTCAGGCATTTTCTTGGATACTGTGTGTGTAAAAGTGCTTTTTGATGCAAAGACGCAACAGTTATCTTAATTCATCTTTTAAACGTTTATCAAAAGAAATACAGAACCATCTAGAAAATACAGAGTGCAGTTGAAAGTGAAGCTCTAAAAGCCAGAAGCATTCTGACTTCTAATCCTTTGAGCTGCTGGTTCACCGTTTGACCTTGTGTCTCTGTCAACATGCCTAGAAAATGAAGCACAACACTAGACTTCACTGAGAACTTCTTAGTGTGTCTAGGTTGAAGCTTTCTAGAGAAAAATATTAGGAAATAAAGCCAAGAATCTTATTTTTCACAGAAATTGATTTTTTCAGCATATCTGCTTGCTGTGCTGTGTTTCACCCTTTGCTCTGCAGACTCCTATACTGGAATGTCTTGCAAGCGTGGTGGAGCTGTCTTATCTGTCACACACCTGAGATTGAAGGTCTTTTTGTGCTGGCTGTGCAAGACTCTTTGGAGTGCCTTTGCTGCAGAGGTACAGTCATAAATCTTGATTTCCTTGCTTTAAGGGCCATGGGACCTATGGGTGATACCTACTGTACAAACAGCAATTGCACTTTCCAAAGCATACAGGCAGTGATGTGCTGCTGATACAACTGGTGCTTGGCTGTTGCTGCAGGGCAGCAGTCAGGCCCTTTGAGAACACTGCAACAGTACAGGGAGTGATAAAAGAACATTGTGTTTTAACTCTGATTGGCACTGTATCTTCTCAGTGCAGTTCATCTCATTACATTTATAACTTTTACAAATTTAGAAATAATGTGGAGGGGAAAAGAGAAATTGGTACCAATTAACTTTGTTGCTACTTCCTCTGAAACCCTGTGCTGAGCAAAAATAGGCATTTCTGCTCTTGAGAAAAATGAAACAAAACACCACAAAATGGGGAAAGCTTTGATGCAAGTTTTCTAGGTGGAGAAGGACTTTTATTTCCAAGGGAAACTTCTGAAAATCTTAAACGTGGAAACTGCAATCAGGATTGCAAGGTACATCAGGTAAGTGTTTCTCATCCTCAAGGTAAAGCGATGGAGCCATAAACCTCAGGGCGCAGGAAGCCGTGCCGGGGCGAGTGCGGTAGTGTGCCCCGCAGGTGGCAGCAGAGAGCAGAAGGCAGCTCCTTACGGGCTGTGCCCTGCCTTTGTCCCAGGGGTCCTCGCAGTTTGGATCCCGGTTTGCAGGATCATACATCATTTTAATACATCGTTAATTGTGTTTAGTCACATAATGCCTTTTGTACCTAGATGTGGCAGTACCTACCTGTGACTGTAGTTATTTGCCACAGTGCAAGGTTTTGTTGCAACAAATCTCACAATTGGATCTGGGGACTGCTGCCTGTGGCAGTTGCAAATTGCCCTGTGGCAGGCACTGCTTTCATTTTTTGTTGCTGGCATCCTTCAGTATGATGAGAGTGGTAAAATTCATCCCGTAACAGTGCTAAGCAGCCAGGACTCCTGCTGTGGCTGGCATTGCAGCTGACGTATTGCACCCGTTCTGCTGACTTGTTGACTTGTGCTAATTATGGTCTAATAGTACGCCTTTTGCTTGCTTTCCCAGCAAGCAACTGGTTTGGAGCCAATTGTGATACTCCATCTAAAAAGGGAGATCGTTTATAAGCCAACCTGAGAGGTCTTGAGAAGCTAAAGTATATCTTGAAGCTTGGTAAACTTGAGGTTGAGCTCCAGCACAGGCTTCTTGAAAAATGGGCAAAATTACTTAGTCCTCTTGGTGTATGAATTGTCCAACAATGAAGATGTCCAACAATGTACAAAATTAAGCCAGATTGCTATTCTGAGAAGTATTTTCTACAGAAAGCGGTCTGTTGCTGAAGAAAGATCCTTTTCAGTATAAAACTACAGTCAAAATAGTATTTAAGAAATTGAAGTGAATCAAGTAACTAATGTGCACTACTCCGTATAATAGTGAGTTGTGATGCACTTTGTAAAAGTGCTGCTGCTGTACGAAGTACTCAGAGGTTCTATTGCATTACCAGAACAGATCAGTAGAAACCTGGTGATGATCCTCGGTTTGGGGAAATTAATTTGGAGAAGAACTGGAAAAAATACTGAACTTGTTTTGAAGTTTATGTTATGTGGTAAAGGACAGAAAGAGCACTGATCAGCATCTGCTCTTTTTGTTGTCTTATCATCCTGTGACAAGGAGATGATCACCAAAATGGAGTGAGGAGGATCAACACATGTACTTTTTTAGAACATGATTAGAGTTTGTAACTCACTGGTTATGACAGTTTTAGCATGAGAGAGATGTTTCATAACTGTTAAGAATACTCATTATTCATGAAAATCTGTCGGCAGAGTTTAACTAAACCTATTGTTCAGGAAGTAAGCCAATCTTTAATGATTAGGGATCCAGGGAGATACTTAGAGGGAGTGGGAGGATAATTAATGTCTGTCTGTGGTGGAATTCTTCTACCTCTCTTCAAAGCAGGAAATCCTGGCCAGTGACAAACAAGGTAGACAGCAACTCTGATATAGTGTTGGCATCTGTTATGCCCTGCATAAGAGCAAGTGATGGTCTGGGAAGCAAAATGAGGTAGCAGCTGTGGCTGGACTATAACATGAGAGAGAATTTCTCAGACAACCAAGTTGTCTTTTGCTTCAACACTTAAAGGTATTCTCAAAGAAATGATTTCCAACATCCTTTCAGATTTGATCTCTTTCCACCTATTTTCAGGCACTGACCAAGAAAAGTGTCAGCAGGGTAAGAAAAGTAGAAATGTGTGTTTGAACATTTCTAAGAGGACTGAACTGTATGCACTGTGTTGTGGTTTTTCTCAGAAGTTCAACCGCCCTTTCTTTTGTTTGTTTGTTTTTTTTAATCTGACATGACTCAATCTTAGTATCTCTCCATTTCATGGAAACTAATGAATTTTGAGCAGTTACAATTTCAGTCTACCTAAGAATGTCTTCTCTTTTCCAAAATTCACATGGGATAGTTATGAACTGTGGTGAATTGTGTGATTTTATTTACTGGGTGCCCACATTAGCCATATCATCAGGAATTAGCCATGTCATCAGTCATGTTTTGTAGGCTAACAAGACCATAATTTCTACTTGAGCAGATTCTCTCGATTTGTATTCATAGAATCATAGAATCCTTAGAGTTGGAAGGGACCTCTGAGGGCCACATCTAATTCAACTCCCCCGCAATGAATAGAGACACCACGGCTAGATCAGGTTGTCCAGGGCCTTGTCCAGCCTTGCCTTCAAAGCCTCCAGAGATGGGGCATCAACAATAACACTAGGTAAGCTGTTTCCAGTGCCTCACCACCCTCACTGTAAAAGATTTTTTCCTTATATTTAACCTAAATCTCCCCTCCCTGAGCTTGAAGCCATTTCCTCTTGTTCTATGGTATGTCCCCTTCTTTCCTGTAGCTGCCCTTTAGATACCGCTATCGGGTCACCTTATAGCCTTCTCCAGGCTGTGCAGCCCCAGCTTTCTCAGCCTGTCCTCACAGGAGAAGTGTTCCATTCCGTGGATATTTTTTGTGGCACTTCTCTGGAAGTGTTCCAACAGTTCCACATCTCACCTGTACTGGGGAGACACCACATTTGAACTCAGTATTCCAGGTGAGGCCTCACCAGTGCAAAGCAGAAAGGCAGGATCACCTCCCTTGCCCTGCTGTCCACACTTCTGATGCAGCCCAAGATATGGTTGGCTTTCTGGGCTGAGAGGGCACATTGCTGGCTCACGTCCAGCTTGCCATTTAACAGTACCCCCAGGTCTTTTTCAGCAGGGCTGCTGAAAAATCCTTTCATCCACCAGTTTGTATTGGCAATGGGGATTTCCTCGACCCAGGTGCAAGACCTTGCACTTGAATTTGTTGAACCACATGAGTTTCACCTGGGCCCACTGCTTAAGCCTGTCAAGGTCCCTCTGTATTACCAAGCTCTGTACAAAATCATGCTATTCTTGTCCAAGAGGAACCTCAGAATTGCCACAAAGATAAAAGTTCATCTTTTTTTGAAGATTTTATATTAATATGATCAGATGGTTTTGACCAGAAAAGACAGCAAAAATTCAGCCACAGCTTTTATAAGCATCTGGACTATATGTGGCTACAGAAACACTGGAATTTCAAGTTTTATCTGCATGATGGAGTAAGTCAGTGCATTTTAACTTTTGTGTTGCTGTGGCAAAGTTGTTGCTGGTAGCTAAATATGCTAACTTAAAGGTAGCCAAGGAATCTAACCTCTGTACAGCAGCTATTTCTGGGTACTATCAGACAAAGAGCAATCTAAATGGACTGAAAATTTTCCCGAGTAGTTGAGGGGAGGTATGGAAAATGCATTGTTTCCTTAAGGACAGAGGCAGAAGTACTTAGTTGGCATACAGTTCTGGAAGACATTTGAAACATTTTTATCTCCAGTGTTTAATTCTACAAAATCTTTCTATTTAAATATATTCATCAGAATATCAAACATAGTAACACAGAAGAACCCAAAAATTCATAGAGATACTGTAACTCCAGTAATATGGGAAGTTGGAAATGTACCAGAATTCTTTCTTAAGAGCTTTTTAGCCTGTCTGCAGTCAGAATATTTTGATGTATTTTGTATTCTAATACATCAACAAAAGCACAGCATGTGTCATAAAATAGCTGGTTGATGAAGATTTCTGAAGTGCTTGCTACCCCTCTGAATTATTTGCTAAAATAAACCAAGCTAGAAAGTGAATGGACACGAGATGTTTCCTATGTAGTGCATGCAATTACTGTATTAATATATTATAACCTCTGACTAACATCTGTAGAAATTACTGGGAATTTTGCTACTGATTTTAGAGGCTGGAGGATTGAGCCTTGGGTTCCTGTTAGTCATTTGTTGTAAGTTAGGATACAGAGATCTCCGAGGGCAGAGTGATGGACTAACATGCTGTTTTCAGCAGAGTTCAATTCCCAGTGGCCCACAGGAAGACAAACCCCTTCTTCTCCTTCCTGCCATGATGTCTTGTGTCAGAGGAGATTATTGTCAGTCCCTGTCAGTCATTGCTAGCACTGTGGGTAAACCTGATTGATAGCTCTGGTAGAATTCATGATAACTAGCTCACCCAAACCCGGTCCTTTACGCATAAACATTATGCATCTCTTCTTTCAGTAGTGGCAACTTCAGTTCAGTGACCTGCAGCAGCAGTGAATCTTCAGGTTAATTATGAAAAGCAATATGATAGTTTCTTTGTACTATTTTAATTCTATTAACCCACATTAATATCCAGAGCACCTCCATTTGCTTCTTGGCTATTATCAGGCAAATACCAAAAGTAGGGCAATTGTCTCTTAGTAATAATTTGCACACCTTTCTATTCTCGCAGGGGAGAACCACGCGTTCCAGGCTGGTCTGTCTTAAGCATTCATTTTTCTCCATACCCCTCATACCTCTGCTCTCTCTGCTAACATTGCATTGTTGCAGTTCCAAAGTCAACAAGATTAAATTGTACTAACCAAAATATGTTGTTGTATTT